AGTTGTCAGTCAAAAGATAAACATTCCTATTTTTCCTTATCAAAGATTACAACCAACAAATGATATGACATATCGAATAGAATAAAAGCGATGAGAATTATATGGTTTTCTATTAGTGATACCCAATGACATAACTTTTTTCCAAGTGTTAGTGAATACTTAAGAAAATATTTCTCAATTTTCTAGCTGATTGCAATATATTAAAAGTACGCGGCAATAAATTAGATTGTAATGTAAATCCGCTCCCATTTCAATACAGGAAATAAACTATTGCCTCCTTGTAATTAAATAGTTGCCCCCAGAGATTCGCTAAAAAATGAGCATACCATATTGAAAAAAAATGTCCCAAAATTAATAAAAAAAAATGTTTTATCGTGAGAATGTTTAAGTTATTATAAAGAGGAGAGTAAAAACTATATTTTGATAATTAAATTCTATTTCGTTATTCTTTTTCGATCGTTCGAAATTTTGGTTAAATATTTTTTTTTTGCGTCATCACAATAGCCTAAATTAGTATACGAAATTTTAACATCTTCCTTGCGAGGAGAATATATTGATTTGGAAATGCTTGCAAAAATTAAATATTTGTCGTATTTTAAGGAAACTTTCACAACTTCTTCACAAATGAATGGAATTATTTTAGAAATGTTTCTTTTTTTGAAAATCTTGGCAAAAATATTTTTTACATTTGTTACCCTCTCCGCACTTGTTTAATTTTTGAAATTTCGAGAAATTAATTTTGCTACTGCTTAATGCTTATATTATCAGAAACCTTTGGAGAATTTGAATCATTAATTTATTTGTCTTTTAAACATGATCGGTACTTACCAAAAATCTGCTTCAAATCGTAAAATAATGCAATAAAACTAAGACATTATTTAATTAGAAAACATTTAATTGCTTTTATGAATAAATGTATATTATGAACATTATTGTGTTAAGAACATTTTTCTTCGAGAAATAATGAATTTTTACAGGAACTGTTTTAATTGTTCTTTTTTAAATTTTAATTATAATAATTTAAAATTTTGCATTAATTTGTACCGCTTAGGTGATAGAGTTATTGACTAAAAACTATATTTACTAATGAGAAATAGAAAAAATGCTACAATTAAGTGATCACCAGTAATTAAAAAAAATGAATGTTTTCTGTGTATTTAAATTTGCCCATTTTAAAATACGGCTGTCCATACACGATATTATCGGAAAATAATTGCTATAACTATAATAAATTTAGAGCGAAAGTACCTAAAAATCAATAAAACATTAGATTACGAGTATATTTTCCAAATTTTTAAAGATTTCTGGGTAGTTAAAAATATATAAAATGGAGCTCACTTATATCCCTCGTGTAATATGTGCCTCGTAGAAAATAATAGATAAACGTCCAGTTGTCAATTCGTTAACAACTAATCAAAACACCTACTTCTATTTTAAAAAGTGCACTTTTGTGTTATTTTAAATTAAAAGTAATATTTGTTTCAAATCAGCATAATTCAACTTTAAATCAGCTTTTGAAAGATTAAAAAAAGAGACAATTACATTGTGTTGACAGATCGCTAAAAATGCCGGAAATCCGAGATTTTTAGCGATTAAACAAACACGATCGAAAACTGTTCAAAATTATCGATCTTTATCGAAACTGTTCAAAATTATCGATCTTCATTTCCATAAAGAGGACAAATATTTGTTTTCGTTGATGAATATATATATATATATATATATATATATATATATATATATATATATATATATATTAGATGGGGACCGCTTGGGAACACCTGGTACTGTAAGCCCCAAAGTCCAACCCTTACCTCACAGTCACTGGGGGGCGGGGTGTAAACGGTAGTGTCAGAGCTATGCCGCCCGGAACTTCGTTCCTGGTAGGGCCACCCAAGGCGGACAGGTCTGACAAGGGCTCTGGTGAAAATCCAAGGAGCGTCTGCATCGGTAACCGGCGACTTCTGGTCGTTCCTGTCTCTGCGTCTGTGGGAATCCCGCGGCAAGCAAGAACGTTATCCAAGTAGGCCTGGGTACCCTACTTCTGTAATTTATCCCAAGAATCTTCTTCTCATAACAGGAAGAAGCCGGCTCAATCCGCCCAGGGTGAATGCCGCATCAGTACAGTAGTAGTAGTAGTAGTAGTAGTATATATATATATATATATATATATATATATATATATATATATATATATATATACAAACTCAATATGGGAAACGGCGAAATTTCACAAAAATAGAAACGAAACGGACACTTATATTTGCATCAGAAAAGGCAATTGGAATGTCTAGTGCAAGAGGGCTTAGAAAAATTGATACTCACAGGACATATTGAAGATAGGTGGGGCAGAGACAACCTGCCTGATGTCCATTGTGTAAATAGTTAACAGAACTGGGATTAGAAATATAGCAAAAAAATAACCTTTGCTAAAAGCTACAAAGAACAGGAAGTTATGAAGAACTATGAACGCCCATTCCCTGTATGAAGAAAGGGAATTTCGTTAGAACTAAAAAAAAATAGTGTGTTGAACAGATATGTAATATCAGTCCTTCTATAAGGCAGAAATAAAGAAGATAATCTAGACAACATGAATGTTGTCTTACAGAAAGATGCTGAGGATACCATAGACTGAACATGTGAGCAACGACAAAATTTTACAGAAAATAAAAACAAAAACGTCACTTATAATTTAAAATCAGAAATGTCTGAAATTTCTTGTTGACATAATATGGAAAGATTGCCGAGAAAAATTGAGACTGACAGGATGTATTCAAGGCAAGAGGTGCCTCGGAAAACAGTGTATACCTGTTTTAAGCACTTTCAAACGCTGGGAAGGCTTAGCCACCTCCATGGTGCCAAGGTATATAGGAAGTCCTTGTCTTGGTGTGAAGCACAAATAGCATCTTTTATGCTTCGTGTCAACTCAGGACTTAGGCGATCATAGCACTCCATATTTCCTGTCATTTGTAGCTCTTATTAAAGTTTGTCTTTTTGCTATCGTTTCTAATCTCTGTTCTGCCAACCATTTATACAGGCTCGCTCGGTAGGTTGTCTTCCTGCCTTCAATATGTCCCGTGTGTATCACATTTTCCAAGACCTCTTTCCCCGTCGTCCATAACAAATATCGCACTCATGAAGAAAACATGCCAACGGTATGTCTGAATGAAACTTGTGTGATTTATACAGCATTGGTTCATCTACAGATTATGACACCAAATATAAAGAAAAAAAAATGTTCTATCTCGTTCTATCCTCCTTTCCTTATTTCATTCAATGTTTTTCTTTCTTTCTATCTTTCTTTCTTTCTTTCTCGTTCTCCCTTTCTTTCTTTCATTAATTCTATTTCTTTCAATCATGCTCTTTCTTTCATTCTTTCTTTCTATCTCGTTCTATTCCACTCTCTTTCTTTCATTCATTCTATTTCTTTCAATCATGTACTTTCTTTCTATCATTCTTTTTTTCTTTCTATTTCTTTCTATCCCCCTCTTTTCCTTTCATTCATTCTATTTCTTTCTTTCTTTCCTTCTTTCTTTCTTTCTTTCTTTCTTTCTTTCTTTCTAGGTGTTTCTTCTTCCATTTATTTCTTCAGTCTCTATTTCTTCCTACCATCGTTTGTTTGTTTGTTTCTTTCTTTCTTCTTTGTTTGTTTGTTTGTTTGTTTCTTTCTTTCTTTCTTTCTTTCTTCGAGGCGTTCTTTCTTTCATTTATTTCTTCAGTCTCTATTTCTTCCTACCATCGTTTGTTGGTTTCTTTCTTTCTTTTTTCTTCTTCTTTCTTTCTTTCTTTCTTTCTTTCTTTCTTCCAGGCGTTCTTTCTTTCATTTATTTCTTCAATCTCTATTTCTTCCTACCATCGTTTGTTTGTTTGTTTCTTTCTTTCTTTCTTTCTTTCTTTCTTTCTTTCTTTCTTCTAGGCGTTCTTTCCTCTTTTATCCTAGGTTTTCTTTCCTTTGTTTCTTTTTCTTCAATACCTTTTTTCTATGTTTGCTTCTTTCTTTCTTTCTTTCTTTCTTTCTTTCTTTCTTTCTTTCTTTCTTTCCAAGTTTTAACATAACCATCAGTGATCAGGCATTATCTTTATCCCAATGTTGCCGAATTCATGATGGTTATTTTGGAAACGTTTCTATTTCCTGATGTTTTATTTACTGTTTGTCATAATCTTTCCGTATAAAAGCAGTTATCGCTATAACAACCGGATAATAATATTTTGGATAACAAGTATCGAATTAAACATGCAGTGACAGAAATGGGACCTTAATAATGAGAATTTCGACATTTTTTTTCTGTGCTTCTTTAAACGAATCAGTATTTACGAAGCTTAACTTTTTACTGGCACTAGACCATGGCCAAGTGAGGTCCAGATATTTTCTTTAGCAGTAAACTAACAACGACACTTGAGAAATGTGTGTAAGTATTCAATAAGTTCAGCTGCGGCTGGCTCATTGTTTAAGTGTCGTGAAACTAATTTATTTAGGCAATTTAGTTGATTAGGCGTATTTGCTACACATCGGTCAAACATTCATTGTTTGTTCATCTTTACTAACTTGGTCTTTCCTTTTCTTATCCGTCTCCATTTATGTGCTGTTTTCTTTCTTTCTTTCTTTCTTTATTCTTTCTCCGTTTTCTTTCCTTTTTTTCCTTTGGCTTCTTTCTTTCTTTTTTGCTTCTTCCTTCGTTTGTTTGTTTCATTCTTTCTTTCTTTCTTTCCATGCCTTCTTTGTTTCAGTGATTTTGGTTCTTTTCTTTCTATGCTTTCTTTCTTTCTTTTTTTCATTCTTTCCTCTTTTCTTTCTTTACATTAGTTTGTTTCTTCTATACCTTATTTTTTTCTTCCATCGTTTGTTTGTTTGTTTCTCTTTCTTCCTTTCTTTCTTTCTATCTTTCTTTCTTTCTTTCTTTGATTTCTTCTAAGTTTTTCTTTCTTTCATTTAATTCTTTTTCTTTAATACCATATCTTTATTCCATTGTTTGTTTGGTTGTTTGTCTCTATCTCGTTCTATGCCTCTTTCTTTCTTTCTTTCTTTCTTTCTTTCTTTCTTTCTTTCTTTCTTTCTTTCTAGGTGTTCCTTCTTTCATTTATTTCTTCACTCTCTATTTTTTCCTTCCATCGTTTGTTTGTTTGTTTGTTTGTTTCTTTCTTTCTTTCTTTCTTTCTTTCTTTCTTTCTTTCTTTATTTCTTTCTTTCTTTCCCCTTTTATCCTAGGTTTTCTTTGGTTTGTTTCTTTTTCTTCAATAGCTTCTTTCTTTGTTTCATCGTTTCTTTGTTTGCTTCTTTCTTTCTTTCTTTCTTTCTTTCTTTATTTCTTTCCAAGTTTTTTTTCGTTCTTTCCATTATTCCGTTTGATAATTTTTCTATCCTCATTCACTGTTCCTTTGTTTTCTTTCTTTTTTCTTTCTTTTTTTCTTTCTTTTTTTCTTTCTTTCTTTCTTTCTTTCTTTCTTTCATTTATTTCTTCACTCTCTATTTTTTCCTTCCATCTGTTTGTTTGTTTGTTTGTTTGTTTGTTTGTTTCTTTCTTTCTTTCTTTCTTTCTTTCTTTCTTTCTTTCTTTCTTTCCCCTTTTATCCTAGGTTTTCTTCGGTTTGTTTCTTTTTCTTCAATAGCTTCTTTCTTTGTTTCATCGTTTCTTTGTTTGCTTCTTTCTTTCTTTCTTTCTTTCTTTCTTTCTTTCTTTCTTTCTTTCTTTCTTTCCAAGTTTTTTTTCGTTCTTTCCATTATTCCGTTTGATAATTTTTCTATCCTCATTCACTGTTCCTTTGTTTTCTTTCTTTTTTTCTTTCTTTTTTTCTTTCTTTCTTTCTTTCCACGCCACCCACGCCGTAACCTTTTCTCTTTTCCCACTTTTAATTATCTTTACTTATTACCTATCACACTTCATCTTTATAAATGTCCCTTCGACTTTATAATTCTATCCTCTTTTTCTCGTTTCCTCAATTTTTGTCTTTCTTTTTTATCTATAGTGATTAATTTTATGTTTCTGTAAAATCATTCCTTTCAAATTTTATTACTAATTTTTCGAATGGGCAATAAACATTCGAATAAGATTGGAAATGTAATCACCAAACTAAAAAAAAAAAAATAATTATTGTTCTATTACAATTCGTTACGGAAGATATATATATATATATATATATATATATATATATATATATATATATATATATATATATATATATATATATATATATAAGTAGCAGTTGAGTTTAATTTCTTTTTGCTGAAAATGAAGCCGAAAGTGTGTGATTAACAACATTCAGATAATAACATTCTTATTTCCGCCATCTTAAAAGAAAAAAGCTACAATGATCTCTTTTAAAGGTTTGCAAATTTCTTTTTATGAAGACTCATTTATCATGATATTTATTTTCATTTTTGAAAGTGTCACTCCACAGTCGCTTCCATTTAGAGGATTTTTACTAATTGTATTTTATGGTGTAATCAGTTTTGGTGCAATTTCTTTGAAGAGATTATCTATGTACGTCTTCTCAAAATATCTTCATAATGATTACCATTAATAACGATCGCCCACTTTCCTAAATATATACATTAACAGTGCTTGCTTCAGTTTGGCCTAAGCCAAAAGCTGTTGTCATATTTTGAGCGCCAGACTTACTCAGAGTTTCTTGTGAAATCCGTTCATTAAAGTCATCACCAGAGCCCTTAGGGTTTCATCGTCAAATAATTTCTAAGTTTTAATGAATAAAATTGGTATAACCCGACATTTGCGAATGCCCCGCGTGAATTGATTTCACTCTTTACCTCTGGCGCGATCCATTCACAAATATCATTCCGATAGCCTTTACAGATTTTTAAATATATGTTAGAAAACAGTTACTTAAAAATCTGTAAAGTTTAAATTAGAATTTTAAAAAAATCAATTCGCCTCAAGGAAGGAGATATCGCCACTAAGACGCAAGGTAGAGTGCAATGGGAGTGAAAGAGAAGAAAAAGACATTTAGAAGGAAGCGGAAATTAATTAATACTATAAATTTCAAACATTAGGCGGAAACGTTAGAAGTATAAATTTGAAGAAAACTTTAGAAGGAACCGGAAACCCAATCGCAAACAGGAAACAAGGGATAAACCTCTAGTCCTATTAAGAAAAAAAAAAAACAGAAAAAAAAACTATCTACTCCTACCGAAGGAAGAAAATGAATAAATAACATTTCAGAATTTAGGCAGGGACGTTAGAAGTATTTAGTTGAAGTAGACTTTAGAAGGAACTGGAAACACAGCCCTAAACAGGAAACATGGGATATTTTACTTCTGTCCAAAAATGCCGTGATGAGTATGAACCGGACGATAGGTTTTAGCGGACATTTTAAATACTCAGCGAGTATTGATGTCGTTGTATATGTCTTGCCAGATGGGTGCACTAACTTCTTAGTAAAATGTTTCGTAAGCATTTTTAAATTGGTAAAACAATATACTTCTTCTTCTTTGTTAGCTCCGTTTTTTCTTATACTTTTTTTCTTCTTCTTCTTCTTCTTGTCCTTTTTTCTGCTGCTTCTTTTTCTTTTTTTTATTCTTTTTCGTCCTCTTTTTCTTCTGCCTATACTTCCATTTTTTCTTTTTTTCCCCTTCTTTTTCTTCTTTTTCCTCTTCTTTTTCTTCTGCCTGTTCTTCGACTTTTTCTTTTTGTTTCTTTTCTTTTTTTTCTTCTTTTTCGCCTGCCTATTTTTCCACCTTTTCTTCTTTTTCTTCATTTTCATCTTCTGCCTATTCTTCAACTTTTTCTTTTTTTTCCCTTCTTTTTCTTCATTTTCATCTTTTTCTTCTGTCTATTCTTCCACTTTTTCTTTTTTTCCCTTCTTTTTCTTCTTTTTCGTCTTCTTTTTCTTCTGCTTTTTCTTCTACCTTTTCTTTTTATTTCTCTTCTTCTTTTTCGTCTTCTTTTTCTTCTGTCTATTCTTCTACTTTTTCTTTTTATTTCTCTTCTTTTTCTTTATTTTCATCTTCTGCCTATTCTTCTACGTTTTCTTTTTCTTCTTTTTCGTCATCCTTTTCTTCTATTTCTTCTTTTGGCTTCCCTTATTTTTCTTTTTATTATTTTAATTCTGTTTCGTCTTCCTCCTTTTCTTTTGCCTCTTCTCCATCTATGTATCGTGTTTCATTTTCTGATGTCACTAAAACTTCTCTTACTGTTTTCCATTTGATTATCCATTCTAATTTAATCTATTCTGTTTTATATTAACTCTGTCAGTCTACATCTCTTTGCAATTTGCAATGTCATTCAGGAGTCTGGCATATTGTAGCTTCAATCCTTCTTTGGTCTTCTTCAATTTCTGTCGTTTTCTTCTGAGCTTACAAGTCACTGGAACTTGGTCGCTCCCACAGTCAGCACCATAAAACTGCATTGCTAAAACACTTTATTTATCTTTATGTAGTCAATGTTACTTTTTGTTTCTCTTCCGGGGTATCGCTATGTTCATAAGTATCTTGAGTGTTCGTGAAACAAGGTGTTGGTCACTATCGGCTAATTTAATGTGTACCATTAAATCCAACTATCCAATTTTGTGACAGTGGGAAGTAATGAGTTAAATAGAATCCTGATTGCTGAGAATCCTATCTCTAGAATTGATTTTGTTTTTTGATTGGACAGAAATGCTCTTCTCGTTCCTGATTGGTTAAAAAAAGATGACGGACGGAATTCAATTTATGCGCGAGTAAAGATAACGTTGTTAATTAGTGATGATGGTGGCAATGCTGGGGAGAGATAATTAAAAGCTATAAATAAAAAATTATGCGTTCACATTATTGTTTTAATAAATTATTTTATTATTTGTATAGATTTAATTATTAAGACTTTATCACCATTGTACGAATCTATGGCTAATCTATATTTGCTTGACACGGTCATGTTTTTCCATTTCCAGACCGGATTTATGGAGAAGCCATAAAATTATCGATTCAGTGTCAGGATTGTACAATCACCATTATAAAGGTATACTAAAAATGCAGACAGAAAGACGAATGATAATACAATACAATCGTTTTCCGTAAAAGGATGCATTTGCCATGGCACCTTGGTGTGAAGTATTGGCTAGTGATGCAAGTCAGGATTAGCAATAATAAGACTAAAAACAGACAAGACAATAGATATGCTTAGATAGGGATAACTGAATGACTACAATATATGACAACGGTCTCAGCTATACGAACTAACGTTCTCAGCTTACATGAAGTGTAAAGACTATATTGAATCCATTGCTATGTAAGCTACTAAGAATGTTGGCTCATTGTGTCGTGCGAGATATTTTTTTCTCTCCGGAACCTATCTTGCCTCTCTATAAGTCTTGGAACTTTGCTCCCACATATAGTCCAGTGCCTCTGCTATTTACTTTTGATAAGATCCAAAGAAGAACCAGTAATATTAGTAGTCCTGATCTGGTGGCTCGGCTTCAGTCACTTTTCCACCGCCTTAAGGTTGCCCTCTTTGATATACAAAACGTGAAGACCGTCGGAAAGTGGGGCAAAAGATGGCGCGTTACTTTTAACGCCTCCAAAAATAATGGGGACACATTTATTCTCTCCATTAACTATCCAAGAAAGCTTTCTCTGACTTCCATCAGCATGGCTGATTTTATCCCTCAGGAAAGTGACACATTGCGCCTTCTCGGGCTAACGTTCTCAGCTGACATGAGACGGAAACACTATATTGAAACCATTGCTAGATCAACTGCAAAGTCTTCAGTGCGAGACAATTTTACTCACCGGAAGTTATCTTACGTATCTATATGTCTACCAGTCGTCCATGCCTTGCTACCATATATGGTCCGGTGACCCTGCTTTTTACCTGAAACTCCTTGATAAGATCCAAAAAAGAATCACTACGGTGGAGTAATGGATAGTTGCTCAAAATGAAAAATCGGAGAGCCGAGTTCGAATTCCAGTCAAATTCATTACATTCATTTACGTGCTAATACCCTTGGGGAAAGTATGAATCCACTTCTTCTCCCCCCCCAGCTACGGGTAAATAACAGGACAGACCGTATTCTATAGCCTTGGGTGCCAATTAGTCTACCGCAGAAAGAAATGACAAATTAATTAAGTATATGATCGCCTAAGCGTGTATCACACATGGCACATAACTGAATCAGAGAGCCGAGTTCGAATTCCAGTCGAATACATTATATTCACTTACATGCTAATACACTTGGGAAAGCTATGAAACCACATCACCCCTCCCCGCTCTGCCAGCTTTGGGTAAATAGCAGGACAGACGGCATTCTATAGCCTTGGATGGCAACTGGTCTACTACAGAAATAAATGGCAACCTACTCTGGGAAAAAAATCTGACTCGTCAGTCATGTATCGAAAGATACATGATCACCTAAGCATGTATAACGCATGGCACATAACTGACTGAATATTATTGGTCCTGATCGGGTTGGCACTTTCACATCACCAGAATATATGTCTCTTTGTCTTTTTTTTAAATAAACACTACCATGGTAATTGTGTGGAATTAGCTTTTCACTATGGTACCTAGACTGTACGAATTTAGGAATAATACTTGACTGGCGGCGAGATCCCGTCAGTGCACATTTGATCTGGTTACCTATAGCCGTAACTTCTACGCTAACATTTTCTTTTCTCGCAGTTCCAACTTTAATTTGCAAAAATTTAAATGCAATCTTAGTGGCTATCTGCTGTCTTATTGATTTTTTTTTCTTTTTCTACTCATTGCTAATGTTTCTGTTCCTTATTCCTGCACAACCTGTAACCCCTTGTGTCCTTGTGGCATTCCTGCCATGCTTGGGGTGATACCGATTAAAAAAAAAAACGCTGCTGATTTTCAAACGGATGGAAAGAGGCCTAAAGAAAAGTGGTGGGAGCAAAGGCTTAAAAACGAGGCTAACAAAGACATCGAAATCATTTGTCCGAAAGGAAATAATCTTGACAATGGATGATGATGTTTCCTTCCTAACCTTTTATTTGAAGTGGTTTGGAAAGTTAACATTTATTATGTCATTACTTTCTCTTTAAGTTACATGTGCTATCCATTTTAACTGTTGCAGGAGTTGTAAGTCCTCAAGCTATGTTATTTTCTCTCATCTGATTACTAATTTCAGTCCACCAGGACGAGGCTGTCTCAGATCCACGGCTCCGTTCGGACGAGGCCATATTTAATTATTGATTTTAGAAAGCGGTTCTTTATAGCTGAAACTTTAAAGCCGAGTTATGAAGAGGCTGACAGCCTATAATGATTTGGGCTGTAGTCTTCTTCGTAATAATGAATTACATTTACGCGACACAAATACACTCCCATTATCGTACAATTTATTTCCTCAGTACTGTTCTTGATATATGTATGTTATCATTATATATATATATATATATATATATATATATATATATATATATATATATATATATATGGGATCACAATACATATTTTTATATATCAAGAACACTATTGAGGAAATTACATATAAATGTATATTATTTATATTATTATATATCATATAAATATTATATTATTATATATATTTATATATAAATTATATATAAATATATATAAATATATATATATATTTACATACACACACACACACATATATATATATCTATATCTATATATATCTATATATATATATATATATATATATATATATATATATATACCTGTTATCTCTATGTATTTATCTACGGCCGTTTCTCTCTCAACCTATGCCTATTTATATATGTATGTATGTATGTAAGTATCTATCTATCTATCTATCTATGCCTTTTTCTCTATCTATCTATCTATCTATCTATCTATCTATCTATATATATATATATATATATATATATCTTCGGTACTTGCTTAATTCAAGATCTAAAATTTGAATTAATTTTAATGTACGCTCTATGTGTAAAATGAAACAATCCTAATATAATAAAGTTGAAGACTTCTCACGTGTTTATCTTTGGCCTTGTAATCAATCGACATCGATGGATATCGATTCGGAAGGGTCACTGATCGTGAATATTTTTCGAGATAAACAATTGCACATTTAAAACACACCATGATGTCTCTTGTCGACTCGTCACTTGTGAGCTGAGTTTTTATCATCCAGTTTAGATTTGAGATTTAACGAAGATAAACGATGCCTGCCACCCATAGCCAAATGACCTTTCCCTTTTGCATAAATCAATCTAGTCAATGTCTGCCAAATATCAAAATTAAGCTGAAAATATAAGGTATTCATTAAAGCTGACAGTAATATGGGTTGCGCAATGACAGAAGATGCCATTAATCATTTAATAAACCCATACGTATTGGGATTTTTGGAAGTAATAACGAAATTTCAAGAGGATAAAATCGGATGCACTTGAAGCGTGGCTTTATTTATTACTTTCAAACATATTCGCCGTCATTAACAATTCACAAAGTCTAACGCAAAGGCGAAGTTACTGTTGGCATATTGGTTATCAGAGCTGGGTACCTCCAGACGGTGTAATAGTTACCAAGCTTGTCTTGCTAGAACAATTACAGCTGTATAGAGAGTTCGATCCGCACTGGGTGCCCCCTACTTTCGGCCTTGTACCACATCTAAGCTACGCTTGGAAAATAACAATATGGGCACCTCGAGGTGATGTAATGGTTAACAAGCTTGTGTCGCTAGAAGAATTACGCCTGAGTAGTGAGTTCGATCCTCACTGGGTGCCTCCTACTTTCGGCCTTGTACCACATCTAAGCTACGCTTGGAAAATAACAATATGGGTACCTCGAGGTGATGTAATGGTTAACAAGCTTGTGTCGCTAGAACAATTACGCCTGAGTAGTGAGTTCGATCCTCACTGTGTGCCTCCTACTTTCGGCCTTGTACCACATCTAAGCTTCGCTTGGAAAAATAACAATATGGGCACCTCGAGGTGATGTAATGGTTAACAAGCTTGTGTCGCTAGAACAATTACGCCTGAGTAGTGAATTCGACCCTCACTGGGTGCCTCCTACTTTCGGCCTTGTACCACATCTAAGCTACGCTTGGAAAATAACAATATGGGCACCTCGAGGTGATGTAATGGTTAACAAGCTTGTGTCGCTAGAAGAATTACGCCTGAGTAGTGAGTTCGATCCTCACTAACTTCCCCTACTTTCGGCCACATGTAAGCTACGCTTGGAAAATAACAATATGGGTACCTCGAGGTGATGTAATGGTTAACAATCTTGTGTCGCTAGAACAATTACGCCTGAGTAGTGAGTTCGATCCTCACTGTGTGCCTCCTACTTTCGGCCTTGTACCACATCTAAGCTACGCTTGGAAAATAACAATATGGGCACCTCGAGGTGATGTAATGGTTAACAAGCTTGTGTCGCTAGAACAATTACGCCTGAGTAGTGAATTCGACCCTCACTGGGTGCCTCCTACTTTCGGCCTTGTACCACATCTAAGCTACGCTTGGAGAATAACAATATGGGCACCTCGAGGTGATGTAATGGTTAACAAGCTTGTGTCGCTAGAACAATTACGCCTGAGTAGCGAGTTTGATCCTCACTAGCTGCCCCCTACTTTCGGCCACATGTAAGCTACGTTTGTAAAATAACTATTGGTTATCAGAACAAAAAAATAAAATGGAATAGCCGAGTTTAAACTCGCAAACGTAAAGCTTATATTGAATCAGATGTTATATCTGCTGTTTGTAGAATTGGTTCAAAATTTTCCAGGAAAGAATCTATCGGATCTTTCTCTGTGCTTTGAATATTGTAGCCACACTAGTTCTGTTGCTTCTGTTATGTATTTAGAGATACTTGATGAAATACAAAGACGAATCTTCAATATTATTCTTACTAAACTGGCATCTTGGTTTCAGTTACTTTCGGGGAGAGACCATTAAGCTTGGATGTGCGCTGTTGTAATGGATAATGGTATTGTTAATCGGAGATTCGAGTTCCAATTGCTTTTATATCGCCCCAAGCAAGACAGTACAGCCACTAGCATACAAGGGGTTACAGGTGTGACGTCGTCCCCCCTGGTCGCAGCGTCGACTGTGTCGTTCGATCCCGTTCGCGACGCCAGCTGTTCGCTCCTCGCTGCTCCAAGTGTGACGTTCTAACCCTTTGGCTAGATGAATACCAGCCTCGTTGTTCCCAACCCGCTTCCAACGCCTGGTTACCAGGGTAACTACACTGATCTCCGGTCTGTCTACCCACGTTGTGATTAGATCTTAGACAGACGGGATCAAACAGGGATTGGGCCGTATGCAAGCTGAGTCCAACGGGGTGATAACACACAAGATAAATAAAACTCACAAGGTCAAAAATATTGAAGAAAAAAGGTAACAACTTTTTATATCTAATTGTTCGTTACACAAGATTATTCCTACCTCCCGACCCGTTCTGTGGACCGTGGCACCAAGCTTCTACCATACAACTTTAAGGCTTCGAGTTGCTTGCTCTCTCTAGAAATTTGCATTTCGGGGTGTGGTTTGGTTTCAACACTGGGCGCTGATCTCTACCTGTCGTTCACGGCTGATTTCTCTTGCCGTCCGTGGCTGCAACTAACTCTCTCTTCAGAGTCTGAATTATTGTTCACTCATCTCCGCTGTCAGTGCGCGAATTAACTTCTTCTCTTCGGCTTCGGTTGGACGAGCTTATTCACTTCAGCTTGGGTTGGACGAATTTCTTCACTTCGGTTTGATTCCAACTTCTCCACTTAGGCCAAACGGACCGGCCTTTCTTGCCGCAAAGGGGACGAATGAACAGGGCCCGCCGTCCGCGCTGCAACACCCTCTTCATCCGCGGCGCAACTCTCTCGCCATCCGTGCTGCAACTGATTTCTGTCGGTTGGGGTCCCGCTTTTATTGAGGCAGTCAGAACTGGGGTGGGTCTGTCGGCGCCAGGGTTTTCTTGATAATTCTAAAGACGTATTATTTCTGATTAGGGATTTTCCATTTTCGGTAACTTACTTTCACTCCTACTTCCTTACTGTGCCTCTGGGGGGGGCGTATACCCGCTTCCCCTGGTCCCTCGTATGTCAGGTGACCGCTCTCGACCAATGGGGTCCTGGTCGGGCATCTTTCCTCCTCCCTCGCACTTCATGTGACCGCTTTCGGCCATTGAGACTCTGGTTGGTTGTCTCTCCTCCTCCCTCATGTATCATGTGACCGCCTTCGGCCAATGAAGCTCTGGTCGGTATCTTTCCCCCTTCCTTCGTGACGTCTTTAATCGGGCGTAGACAATCCGTGGCTTTGTTCTGGGGGGAAGAAACACATTGCTTAAAAAAAACAAAAACTTAAACTGCCCTTTTTCGTACGTGACCGAAATGACGCACGCGGTATTTGTCAAACAGCCTATCGCTAATTGGATACGATCTAAGAAAGGGATTTCTTAGACCTGTCGGCGTTTCTCTGAACGCAACAAAATATTTCATTCTCCTCCGGCCGATAATAAAAATCTGTATTATCTCAAAAAGCGACATCACCCTGGGTGGCGTTAACGTGAACTAATAAAAATATTTCACTTTTTCCCTTCGCTCGGAGCTTGACAACAAAAATCTTAATTATCTCAAAAAAAAGCATTTTCTAATCATCATCTTGTGTGACTGTATTTTCAATTCTGGTTCTCGTATTAATGGATTGTCTGTATATCCTTAGATAAACTTCCCACCTGTTACCTATCATATTCTTTTTATTGTCTCTAAACTTTATTTCTTCAACCAAATTGATAACAAACTTCCATCCTCCGCGGACACGGAAGTAGGTCAAGTGCTTGACCTGATATTTTTGACATCTGATATGTGCCAGTCGAGCGTGTGTGTTTTCGCTTACGACCTGGTTTCGTATTATTTATTTTTCTCCTTTCTTTCCTTCCTTTTCTTCTTCTTTTCTCTCTTTCTCTCAGATCGCCTGAATGTAAAGAAAGAATTATTCCTAACCCCGAAATATTTTTCAGCTCTAAATAATTATCAAATGGTTAACAAACCGAAAAAAACAAATCATATATTTATGAATATCTCTTTTCAGTTTTCTAATTATGCATGGTGCCACACAGGGTGTGAAGGAATTAGCAACAGAAACATTAGTAACGAGTAGAAAGTGAAAAGAGCAATCAGGATGGCAGTAGACAGCGATTGGCATTGCACTGAATTATTTGCAGATTGAAATTAACCGGAAAACATGGAGCCGGTAGGGTGTTCCACAAGTGAGAAGTGAGAGAAAAGAAACTATTAGCATACAATTCCTGACGACACCTAGCTAGCTCAACTGTCAATAGATGAGATCTTGACACAAGTCAGTTTATGGCTGGTAAGATACAACGAAGTTTTAACATGAGAGTAAGACTTTCTTTAGTAATGTAATTGTGATGTGGTAAGCCTCTGTCAGAATCAAGTTTTGCGTGACAGCTAGATATAGTCGTTGGCATTTTAGTCTTTAAATGTATTTTCCCAACCGTTTTACTATTTTCTATAACGGTTTCAGTTTATTAATAGGTATACAAAACGATCCAGCACATTATGTTCAGTAGAATCTTTTGCCAATACCAGTTAATTCTACCATAAAAAAATCTGTAGTGAATCTGTTTATTACATAAAAAATAATAGAACATTGATCCCCCGCTTTATATCCAGCAATAAAATTCTTGAGAAGAATTTGCAATGTTATTGGACCTGACGTAGCATTTCGTCTTCAGTCACTTTCTCATATTTGTATCGTAGCTTCCCTGTGCCTTTTCTATAATTACTTTTATAATAACTATTCTAATGAAATCTCCTTATTGGTACTTTGACTTTATGAATTTAAGCGCAGTACTAGATTGGCAGCTAGGTCTCGTCATTTTACAGTTGAATTGGAACTGTAAGTTCTATGCTAAGAG